ATCTCAGAAATTCCTGGGTGAAATAAAGCTTAGCTTTAATGACTTCTCTGCTAACATATCAATGAAAAATCATTAATTCTATAAATTTTCACATGCTCATTAGTGTACTAGATATTATGAGACATATAAAAATGATTAATTATGATTGCCTCCTTCCAGGAGTTCACCACCTAGTGAAGGATATAAGATATATCCTCACATAGTTAAATCACAAGATAAAATGAGAAAGTAAATAATTACAAAGTATTATGCAAAGTTAAAGGGCCATGGATCACTCGAAATTTATAATCTAGTCTTTAAAGCTTTAATGTTATAAAGCTAGTCTTTCCTTTAAATCAAGGTAGAATGTGAATGTAACATTTTGATTTAAGAATATTATTTCAGTGTAAAGGATGTCAAGCCATATCAGGCTGGAAGTAGAGGGATGACCTCATGGAACCTTGAGAATGTTAGCTAAGCACAGATGCATAGAGAGTATTGCTGCAAGAAATGCCTGTATGCCTTTAAAACCATCTGCAAATTGAGACTGGGCAGGATCTATAAGCACTGATTAATCAGAATGGCCAGCTAATCGGAATGGATGAGAAGCAGTACCCAAGTGTACAAGGTCAGTCATGAAAAAGAGCCCGAGCAATGACAGAGGATAAATGGTGTGATGCATTTAGAACAGGAGCAGATTGTGTGACTAGAAGACAAACAAGGGAGACAAACAAACTTGACATGCCTGAAAAAGTAACCTTTTATCTCAAGATAATGAGTTTAAATTTTATCCAGTAGACAAAGCAACATTTCCCTCCCTCACCACTAGTGACTACACAGGAATACACATACAAACATGTCTACACTCCACACACACTGTGGTCCTAACCTTCCAACACCATTAAAATCTTCAGAATATTTTCTAATACCACAATTCTGGTTTAATTGTCTGTCCTCCTCCATGTCTGCTTTATCATAAGGCCTATCTTATCGAACTAGAATTCTCATTTCATGTTTTATCCTTTATTATATGCAATATTCTCTTTCCTAGTACACCGCATTAATCCCCCCAGAAGACCCACCTGCTTCCCTCCTGTGGTAGGTATTTCATCTCTGTGACCTGTGGTTATTCCAATCAACAGGGCAGGGTACCTGTTTTCCCTTCCTGGCCATGGCCAATGGTGGGTTTTATACACTTGCGAGAAGGCAGGAGGAGGCCTTTCTAATCAGACTAGCACAGAGTGAACATGAGACTTTGGTCAGCTTCAAGCTGGAGCTGTAGAATAAAAGGTGCTAGCTCATATACCTGATACTCCACCTTATTACTCCACATTGTTAAAATGCTCAACCTTGCTGTTCCCATGCACTGGTGGGAAAACAGTAAATTACGAGTGTAGAAAAGGGTTAAGACTGATGTCTCCTAAAATTTCTCATTCTTCCTTTTTTTCAGTCCAGATTCAAAGTGAAGATCGAAGTATTCTTGGAAATGTCCATTCTGTATTTTCCTGACTGGGTCTTCAATCTACCCTAGCTCAATGTAAAAACCAAACATACCCCCAAGACAGACCTAGTCACTCTCAGAGCAGAGGTAAACTATTAAAATGTGAAGGTCATCTACCAAAGTCATTCAAAACCTTAAGAGAATGGAATAATCATATAACCATTTATTAGTAAATATTTGTAATATAATTTTCCCAGACAATTTTCTAAAAAAAAGGGGGAGCGTGAATGAGTAACTACAGAAAGGGGAGTCATTTTTTCTATTGTCCCAAAGGACAGCATCAATAGTAAGGATTAATGTAGCTCTTTGCTACTTACAAAGAAATAAAAAATACATAATTTTCATTTTCTTTTTATTTCTCCCTGTTCACTAATATATACTCAACTGTTATTATTTTCACAGTAAGAAAAGAAAATTGTTGTATGAGGGTAAGAAATTGTCTGGAAGTGAGTATGAATGATTTTTCTAGAATTAGTGAAATATTGTTTCTCTAGTTTGGAATGTAGGTAAGAGATCATACATATGTCTGAAACAACACGATAAAACAACAATATGTCTAAATATACACGATGCACACATTTTCCTTGCATGTTACTAATATCTGCAACTTACATGCTTTATAATTGTGTATGACTTTTGAAAAGGGACATAGGATCTAACTTAATTTACATTGGCCAAAGATGGAATGATTTCAACATTAAAAAAGAGTAACACCTGCAATCTGCAAAACTCATCTAATATGTATAAGCCAAGAGTTTGAGTCTAAAGAAATTATTTAACTTTGAAGCTTTTGGGCCACTAATTCATTATGTGCAAAGTGGGTAATAAAAGAACGTTAATCCCTTCTCCTTTTCAAACTGTATTTTTTAGGGCCTGTTCTTAGACTAGGGCACTATATTTCTAAGGGCCTGTTCTTAAGACTTTTTGGGCTTCATAAAAAGTAAGTGCTATATTTATACTGATAAGAGCCACATCCAATACCTTCTTTAGTCTTCACAAGGCTTTTCAGTGGTATCTAACCCAGGTGAGCACTCCACTCTCGGGAAAACTCTTTTCCTTCAATCCTTAGACACCTTTTCCAGTTTCCTCTGCCTGACCCACAGTCCCAGTGTTTGGGGTGCTCTTCCTGTGGCTATACAGTCCTGGATCTTCCCACACTCCCTGTGGGTTCTGTCCCACATGACCTGTTATATTTCAACCTTCTCTTTCCTGCTCAGTCTGTCAAGAAGTAGAGGCAGCTGGGAGACAAAGCCAGGGCTTGGAACACACCTACTCGGTCCTACTCAAGCTCTACCAGGTCCTAGCTCCAAGAGGAACAGACCTAACCCTGAATGTCCAGTGGCATCCACGGGCAGAGTGACGAAAGGCGTGGTATCTCAGGCTTGCCCTTCCTCAGCCTAAGTAGAGGGAAGACCAGTCTATTACTAACAACTCCCTAGGCTCTAGCCCTATAGCCAATACCTGTGCTCCTATCTATACCAGTCTTTCTTTCATTCCAAATGCATAAATATTTCATTTTGTCTTCAAATGGGGTTAGCTCTTTAAAAATGTATGCCTTGTATGCATGCATATATGGATGTTAAATAATAAACAAATGAGAACAGAAAAGCAGTCTGGAAACTACATATTGCCTCTTTAAGACACACATGAATATCTTTTCTCTTCTATTGTGAAGGCTTTTGTTAAAAATACAATTAAGTGGAATTATGTTTAGTCACCTGTATCCAATTAGTATAACTGGTTAGGGCTTAGATTTAATGAGATTTATTCCAAAGATTTAATTCCCACTTGAGGCAGTTAGTTTCACTCATCTCCCTATTAAAGACTCTACCATTACCCAGGCCCGCTATGTCCCAAGGCATCAGAATATGAATCATTGCAAGCACATCATAACAAGAAGAAAATCAATGCAAACCACACTGTTTTATTAAACATCTTCATAGGCAAACAGTTGTTGGAAAAATTACATTAATCTTCTTGGAAGACTTCTATAAGATTATTTATAAATACATTGAGAGATGTTAAACATAATCATTGTGAAATTGATAATGGCAAAGATAAAGGTACTTGTCCTCCCAATGTGGTAATCTGTTTTCCTTTCAAATGTGAATAAACATGTTCCCTGTTATCGTCCCTATTAATGTCTGGTCCAGTCCAATAAAAATAATGAATATAAAAACTGTATTTTTCCACAAATATTCTAGATGATTCTTATGATCAAGTAAAAGGAAAATACTGGGTTAATATTCTTTCACAGTTCTGGCTATAATTATGTTGACAAGCTACACCTACCATTAGGGAACTAGTTCTCAGCACTAGACTGTTTACCAGTAAGCAGGGTAGAGGTGTGGAGTAAACAATATCCAACTCATAACCTAAGCTTCATGAGCATTATGCACTTGCTTAAACTGACTAAAACACATTTTATAACATTTTAAAAGAATTCTTTCACACACTGTCCATATCAGGTCTTAGAGAATACTGTCATATGAATTTACAAAATTACAAAACAAAGGAGCAAAAAAATGTTATGAATTTAAAGTCTCTAAGTCTGTCACCATTACAGTATTTTTTCGATAATGTCCAGCACCCAGGCATTTGCATTAGCGTGTCTGATTTCTAAAGAAACATGCCTTTCCTCCTGGTGAGAAACCAGCTGCTTGCAAAAGGCAGTTCTAGTATTAGAAACTTGAAGGCAAACATTTTGATGCCATAAAGAAAAAAATATCATTTTAAAATATATATATTTAATGCACACCTAGGGTACGTTGCATCATAATATTTTTATTTTGTTTTCTGCAGCAAGTAGATGACTCTGGAAACTATAAACCTTTCAATATATTTAATAACACATGACAGAGGTGGAACAACATTTCATAGCTAGTCTACTTATATGCACATTATAAATCCTTGGGTTTGCCAAGGGGTTGGACTACAAACATGTTTGCAGTGTGCAAGATTTAAAATCTGTTTCTATTAAACATATTCTCAGCTAAAAATAGCTCACCATGCACATCAAGAAAAGCAGACAGTGCAGATGGCAAATCATTAAGAAATAAAGCACATTATCCCTTAAATATATATGTGAGCATAACTCAGAAGTAATTAAGTTAGAGTGACTCATTGTGGGCCCTACCCTACATTAATATAAAATCTCACATAATCTATAATAGAATATATTTCTTTTATATGAGATCAGTTTGTATTCATTTAATGTATTTGAATAAAACTCAAATTGCTAGATGAAGCTTTATTTTAGCCAATGTTCAAAAGCCTCACAAATACCAATATTTGATAATGCTACTTAATGAGGCTTTGAAGTAGGAGGGTTTTTAAAAAGAATAGATGGGCCTAAGAAATTCCATTTAAAGAAATACAACATGGTTAAGCAACTCACTCTCACTGAGATCTTTTCTGTAAAAGACACTGAAAGAAAATTACTAGTATCCATTTACTAAGTAGATAATAAAACAAAGATGAGCAGAAGTTAGTAATGTATGGGCACTAGCTGAAAGCATACCTCTCTCTGTGTCCTTCGGTGATATCATATAAACGGTTGGCACCTCCATCAGCACAGGCTCTAAAAAGAGCTTCAAATAAAAAAAATTAAAACCATTTCAATATAGGAAATAAAGAGCAATATCTTCCAAATAATAAACACTGGAAGATAGAGACTCAGAAACATATATAGTCACTCTAACCTACCTGGATCATTTCATAGTCATCTGTAACACTGCTGGAACAAAAGTCATGCTACATAGCACAAGACAAGGAAGATAGAATCACCTACAGATCAAGTTTATTACCTTTGTGCATCTTCCTCAATCTCTCTGTTTCAATACAAGAGGAGCCTCCAGATGGTGCCTGCATGTTTGCAATATTTCTTGACACTTGTTTTTCCTTCTTTGTAAGAGAAGGTAGTCCTGGGCTCAATGACAGGATATAGGATACAGCTATTGTGTTTTCCTTTTTTATAGATTTTTACAAATACTTTCTTTTTGCCGGGCATTATGAAATTTCATTATTCTGATGAAAATATTTTCTTTAAAAAAGAAATCCTAAGGTACAAATTCCCAATGATGAATGTCATCATACTGTATAGCTAGAATGTATCAATTTAATGAAAACATAAAATAAAAAAATAAATCATAAGGGAGATGGATCTTTTGCAAATAGGAAGGGAACCAAGAAATGGAACAGGGTTGGAGAGGAAGAGAGAGGAAGGGAAGGAGATGTAAAAAGAATAAAGGTATGTTATATACATGCATCAACCACAATGAATATAATAATTATGTACTGCAAGCATATACTAATAAAAATAAATATAAAGAATTACTATGATTATTTTAAAATATAAACAATCCAGACAATATGGGACTAATGTAAAAGGTGTGAAAGTGGTACAAATTGAAATTTGAGAAATGTTAAAATAATCAAGTAAAGCCAGCTTCCTCTCTACTCAGGCTTTTCTCTCTTTCTTGCTACTGCTCTGGGATTTGATGCTGCTGATGAATGATGACTTCTTGAAGATTTTTCGGCTTCTGAAATGCTACCTTTGATGCTGGTACTATTTCTCTCATTTTTTTTTTTCACAGAAATACAAAGAATCTTAGCAACATTTCAGAGTGAACATTACAAACCATCAAACCAAAAGGTACTTGGCTGAAGTTATTAAGACAATGTGACAGGGTCTTCAGATCAGTACCAAAAAAAAAAGGCTGGAGCCTTTGATTAAAGGATCTGACAGTTAAAATCCAACTTATGAACTAAGAAACTACCTTTTTGTGAAATTAAAATTAATGATATGTGGAACTGAAATTGGGAAAGAAGAAAAGAAATGGTCACTTTCCCTTATGTACTGTGTATTCCTTGGCTGAAATGTAAAATAGTTCATATAACTAGAACAACTAAATAAAAGGTTAATGACATGTGTTTTGTTCTACAAGGATAAAATTATACAAGCTAATAATAAACTATTATGGCTTTTGTCTACATGTTCCCCTACAGTTTCATGCAGTCATAGGAGGGGCTTTTTCAGAGGTGGTTGATCTAGAGTGTGTGACTGATTCATGGTGCACTGCTACAATTAAAGGTACTAGGATTAAGGGTAGGTGATTACTAAGTCAGTCCACTGATGGGCGTTGGCACCACCCTAATCCCAGGAGCTTGGATATGATATAAGGGACAGAAGGAGGCTTATCTGATCCTTTGCCTAGTTGCTTTGCTACCCTCTGCCCACCATGAATTGTTCTCTGCCCTGCCACCCTGCCTTGAAGCTAGCTGATTATGGGCTGAAACCTCTACAAACTGTGAGCTAAATAAACCTTTCCTCCTTTAACTTTGTGTGTTGTGTCTTTTGTCTCAGCAAAGAAAAAAGTAACTAAGATATAAACCAGTGAAGAAAATCCATAATTTCCACAGTAAAAAGTTTATCCCAATTTTTCCACATTCCAGGGTGAGATATTTAAGTACTTGAAAAAGAATGAAACTGTCTCAGTTCTAATTAAGTTACCTAACCATTTCTTGAAATTGTACACCTATATCCCCATGCCAGTTTAAAGTACTCAGGAAATTTCTCTAGATGGCTACAAAGGTACTCACTACCACCTTACCTTTGAATGACTGATTAGTGGAGTACAATACTATATGTACACTGGTTGTAACTTTCACTACATTAATACGTTAGTTTCTGACTTGCAGTGGGACACTGATCCTTTTAGAAAGTTGCTGTCTGTTCTTAATGTTGTCTAACTTGTCTTCTCTTTGTGGCTATTTTTAAGATCTTCCTTCTGTCTTTGGTGTTTTAAATTTCATTACCATATATCTTATTTGGAATTAACTGGACACCCTAAATCTGAGGATCTTTCTTCAGTTCTGGATAATTTTTGTCATTTTAATTCAATTATTTCCTATCTTTCATTCTATATATTTCTGGGCATTCCACTAAACATATTTCTGGACAGTCTCATTCTGTCTTTTATACTTTTTTAAATGGTTTAATTTCTTTCATCTCTTTTTGTTAGTGTAGATAATTTCTTTAAATATCTCAGTTTATAAAGTCTCTCTTCAATGACACCTGGTCACCTGTTTGAAAAGTTTAGTTTTTTGTTTTTGTTTTTTTTGGCACCAGGGATTGAACTCAGGGCCTTGGGCTTGCGAGGCAGGTGGCAGCAACACTGAGCTAAATCCCGACCTCTGAAAAGTTTAGTCTTATTCATTCTTTTTAAAGAAGTTTTATATCTTTTTTTAATCCAAAAGACTTTTCTAATGACTTCTTGCTAATGTTTATAATATTAATTGCATTTTCAAAAAATCAGACTACTTTCAGATCAAACATTATTTTTTATCCTATGGAGTAGGAGAGTTAATGGGATATCTGAGAGTTAATGGGATATTTAGGGGATTTCCTTACATTTAACAGACCAAAGCCTTGCTCCTGCCCCCACACAGCTGTTAAAATCAAAGCCCTAAGTCACAAAAATGAGCAAATGCCAGGGGCACTCAGTTTCAGAAGAAACAAGCTACATTTTTGATGAGAAACTTCTTTATTTTATAAAAACATCCTACCTTTTTGCTAGTTATACATTTAAGAGTATTTATAATCTCCAAATTTCGAGGTATAAACAATAGTGGTCAACACAATACTAGAACACAATAAGCATTTAACAAAGACTAATTTTCCATTTTTATTAGAATGAAAATAAAATATTAAAATATCTGTGTTGTTAGGAGTGGAGGGCCTCACAGACAGTGCAAACCAAGACTTTTTATAAAAACAACCATCAAGGGTATCTCACTTTACCACTTACAATACTTTATAAGAAGTGATACTCAAGGTCAAAATTATGCCACAAACATAACTTGTAGAAGATCACAGAATGTATTATACATTCCCTACATATCAAAACCATAAAAAGGCAAAAGGGAGAGATTATTTCCCATATAAACTGTAGCATAAAACAACTGATTAGGGAGATTGAAAAGACTGATTAATAGAAACAGATGGTAAACTATCAGTAATTATCCTCAGAGTATATAAAACAACTCTATAAACAAAATTAACAAGTATATGGAATCTTTTTTATGTAAAAACTGATTCACTAAAGTAATATAAACATCTAAGAAATAGATTTTAGTGGCTAAAGATGAATAGAAAGACTTGTCAATTTTTCTCACTACATTACTTCCCAAAGACTGAATTCATTTTTAATCTATTGCGGGCTGGGGGTGGGGGTGTAGCTCAGTAGTAGACAGCCTGCTCAGCATGCATAAGGCTCTGAGTTTGATCCCCAGCATTGCATTAAACAAATAACATTTATAGCTTATTATGTCTCAGGCTGTAAATGACAAAGAAAGATGAATAACAAGTAGATTCAGCTCTCCAGGCTCACATTACAGTGGAAAAACTGGAAAGAGAAGCAAATATATGCAATATACAGTGCTATGATGAGTGCTAGAATAACGGCATCAAAATACCATGAGAAAAAAAGGAGAGATGAATTTCAATAGACACATATGTAAACATTATTAATAAAATCATTTTAAGATCTCTGTTACTACTGCAATTAAAAAATGTGCTGATGCCTATTGTTTTTATTCCCTACATTTAAATTGATAGTTTTAGAGCAGTTTATGAAAAGACAAATATCTAAATGAAAGGAACTGAATTCGTCCATTTATTCCTGTTTTAAATGGCAAAGACAGATGAAATCATTATGAAATTTATATTCTCTAATTATATCCAGGAGGAAAGTAAGGGTTCAATGCATGTGAAAGAAAACACAAGTTTGAGCTTACACCTTATTATCAAAAAGTATCATGAAAAATGTATTCTACCCATTACATTTTTTTACCCATTTTAAAGTAATAAAACTGTTTTAACCAAGTTTAAGTATTTTCCACATATACAAATAAAACTGAATTTGCAAAAATGTCTTTCAAGCATATAGTAATAATGCTGGCCTGTATTCACAGATAACAATTTGAAAAACAGATAAACAGATATCACTGTTAATGAATCTGACCAACTAAAGGTACTGGAAGAAGAGGGCCCACTAAAATGGTATATGTTTGATAAATCCCAATGAATTTGCCTCAAACATATGTTCACTTTGCCACTGTTTAAACTATCCCAAGCTTAACTACACAAATTATCTTTTAATGTAATATTTCCATTGGCTAACATAGCAAAGTTTTTGTAGATTTGTCAAATAGTGTAATTTCAATAGTTAAAAAGTTACTATGTAACAGCTGAAGATTAAATATATTAAAAAACTCTACAGCAACTTTATATTTTAAGTGTATGTTAAATATATCTTAAACAAGAAGATTTTTTCAATTTGGCATAATGTAATTTTAATGATACTGACAAATAATGAAGAACTCCATTCACAATTTCAAGTTACTTAGCTATCTCAAAGATTTCTGTTGAATAAACCTGAACAGAAAGAATCTGACTTCCTGAAAAGTAGATGGTTATATTAGTTCCAAGTACTTAGGTTCAAGAAAAACTAAAAAGTTGCCTAAAAGGAAAACAGTGGTAGATTTTGATTCTAATCTCAGTCTGCTATTTGTTAGTCCTATGACCTTT